AGACTTTAGTTTATCGTACTTTTCATATGTTTCCATGACAGATATATATATCACAAGAGTCTTTTTCCTTCATTGGCTTGGGCGCCTCGTGTATAGTTGTCGTTGTGTCTCTAGTCTTTAACTGGTTACTTCAATTTTACTTTTTGTTGTAAGTTTACATGGCATACCTCGTGAATTATTAACTCTTTCTCTCAATCGATCGCTTTAACATTGCATCCCGAATGTACTTTAGGCTATCATCCAAGATGACACACCTTAGTCAACGTGCACGTGAATGTACAGTCAGAACCCACATCCTTGTAACATTACCAGATTATAGTCAAATGGTGTCAAATGGTACCTGGCTTCACTGAAATCATGCTTACAAAACTCACAAACTCTTTCCTCTCTTGAAGTGTCCAGTTGGCACAAACAACCCCCATGTACACACAGTTACGGATCTGTACATAATACCTCACTGCATAACATCCCTCATAGGAACAATTTCTAACATTCCTTCACATTCAATGTCATTCACACACATCCGCTTGGCACCACACAACCCCCCTCCCTCACACACAACGCGCTTGGCACCACACGCACCCCTCACACACACACACACACACACACACACACACACACACACACACACACACACACACACACTGACCCCATCCACTCCCTAGCCCTTACACATCAATTACATTAGTGCGCATGTGTCCGTGTTCATGTGTCCATTGGTGCGTGCATGTGTATGCGTGTTCCCACTTCATGGTGTGCCTCGTGTTCATCAGCGAGTGACACGTGTTGTTGTTGTTTTTGCTGAGAACCGACTTCGGGTCTCTGAGAGTAATGCTTAAGCATTAGGGTCTTTACATTTCTCTTTCTTTTTCGTTATTATTCACGATATGTGACATTCAACATAGGCTGTGCCCACTGTGTTCCTCTACATAACCTGTGCCCACTGTGTTCCTCCACATAGCCTGTGCCCATTGTGTTCCTCTACGAAGCCTATCCCCATTGAGTTCCTCTACGTAGCCTATATCCATTGTGATCCTCTACATAGCCTATACCCATTGTGTTGCTCTACGTAGCCTATACCCATTGTGTTGCTCTACGTAGCCTATACCCATTGTGTTGCTCTACGTAGCCTATACCCATTGTGTTCCTCTACGCAGCCTATATCCATTGTGTTCCTCTACATAGCCTATACCCATTGTGTTCCTCTACATAGCCTATTCCCCATGTGTTCCTCTACAGCTCTACATAGCCTATACCTATTGTGTTCCACTACATCGCCTATAACCCTTGTGTTCCTCTACATCGCCTATACCCATTGTGTTCCTCTACATAGCTTATACCCATTGTGTTCCTCTACGTAGCCTATACCCATTGTGTTCCCTCTAGCATAGTTTAACCATGTGTTCCTCTACGTAGTCTATACCCATTGTGTTCCTCTACATAGCCTATACCCATTGTGTTCCTCTACATAGCCTTATACCCATTGTGTTCCTCTACGTAGCCTATACCCATTGTGTTCCTCCACGTAGCCTATACCCATTGTGTTCCTCTACGTAGCCTATAACCACGGTGTTTCTTTACGAAGCATATACCCATTGTGTTCCTCCACATAGCCTATACCAATTGTGTTTCACTACATAGCCTATACCTATTGTGTTCCATTACATCGCCTATTCCCCTTGTGTTCCTTTACAGCTCTACATAGCCTATACCTATTGGGTTCCACTACATCGCCTATAACCATTGTGTTCCTCCACATCGCCTATACCCATTGTGTTTCACTACATCGCCTATACCCATTGTGTTCCTCCACATCGCCTATTCCCCTTGTTTTCCTTTACAGCTCTACATAGCCTATACCTATTGTGTTCCACTACATCGCCTATAACCATTGTGTTCCTCTACATCGCCTATACCCATTGTGTTCCTCCACAGAGCATATAACCATTGTGTTCCTCCACAGAGCATATAACCATTGTGTTCCTCCACAGAGCATATACCCATTGTGTTCCTCTACAGCTCTACATAGCCTATACCCATTGTCTTCCTGTACATAGCCTATTCCCCTTGTGTTCCTCTACAGCTCTACATAGCCTATACCTATTGTGTTCCACTACATCGCCTATAACCCTTGTGTTCCTTTACATCGCCTATACCCATTGTCTTCGTCTACATAGCCTATACCTATATACCCATTGTGTTCCTCCATAGAGCATATAACCATTGTGTTCCTCTACATCGCCTATACCCATTGTGTTCCTCTACATCGCCTATATCCATTGTGTTCCTCTACATAGCCAATATCCATTGTGTTCCTCTACATCGCCTATACCCATTGTGTTCCTCTACATCGCCTATATCCATTGTGTTCCTCTACATCGTCTATACCCATTGTGTTCCTCTACATCGCCTATACCCATTGGGTTCCTCTACATCGCCAATACCCATTGTGTTCCTCTACATCGCCTATACCCATTGTGTTCCTCCACATAGCCTATACCCATTGTGTTCCTCTGCATCGCCTATACCCACTGTGTTCCTCTACATAGCCTATACCCATTGTGTTCCTCTGCATCGCCTATACCCACTATGTTCCTCCACATCGCCTATACCTGTTATGTTCCTCTACATCGCCTATACCCATTGTGTTCCCCTATATAGCCTGTACCCATTGTGTTCCTATACATCGCCTATACCCATTGTGTTCCTCTACATCGCCTATACCCATTTTCTTCGTATACATCGCCTATACCGATTGTGTTCCACTACATCGCCTATATCCATTGTGTTCCTCCACATAGTCTACAACCATAGTGTTCCTCTACATCGCCTATACCCATTGTGTTGCTCCACACAGCCTATACCCATTGAGTTCCTCTACATCGCCTATGCCCATTGTCTTCGTCTACATCGCCTATACCGATTTTGTTGCTCCACACAGCCTATACCCATTGAGTTCGACTGCATCGCCTATACCCACTGTGTTCCTCCACATAGCCTGTACCCATTGTGTTCCTCTGCATCGCCTATACCCACTCTGTTCCTCCACATAACCTATACCCAGTGTGTCCCCTACAACTCTACATCGCCTATAGCCATTGTGTTCCTCCACATAGCCTATACCCATTGTGTTCCTCTACATCGCCTATACCCATAGTGTTCCTCCACATCGCCTATACCTGTTATGTTCCTCTACATCGCCTATACCCATTGTGTTCCCCTATATAGCCTGTACCCATTGTGTTCCTATACATTGCCTATACCCATTGTGTTCCTCTACATCGCCTATACCCATTTTCTTCGTATACATCGCCTATACCGATTGTGTTCCACTACATCGCCTATATCCTTTGTGTTCTTCCACATAGCCTACAACCATAGTGTTCCTCTACATCGCCTATACCCATTGTGTTGCTCCACACAGCCTATACCATTGAGTTCCTCTACATCGCCTATACCCATTGTCTTCGTCTACATCGCCTATACCGATTGTGTTGCTCCACACAGCCTATACCCATTGAGTTCGACTGCATCGCCTATACCCACTCTGTTCCTCCACATAGCCTATTCCCATTGTGTTCCTCTACATAGCCTATACCCATTGTGTTCCTCTACATCGCCTATACCCATTGTGTTCCTCTGCATCGCCTATACCCACTTTGTTCCTCCACATACCCTGTACCCATTGTGTTCCTCTGCATCGCCTATACCCACTGTGTTCCTCCACATAGCCTATACCAATTCTGTCCCTGTACATACCCCGTGTGTTATTCTACACTATGCCTGACGACTCCTTGATGGACGATAGATGCCTTCGACCCCAAGCCGATGTTCCTTTGTCCACACACACAAACAAAGACACAGTTAGTTAACTGTCAGTGCATCTCGACACTTGCTAGTATGATTAGAGCTATGCTTGTATTTCTGTACATGTAACTGTAGCACAAAGTATCAGATGATTTCTGGTCTTCCCGTATTTTTTCTCTCCAGCTTTCATTTCGGCTGACGCTGCAAGTTATATTTCCGTTATCGGTAGCTTTTTATATCTTCGGATCTAGATTAATTTCAGAAATCACCAATAGATACAGAGCGGACTGGCATTAATTACAACATCGTGTCCTAGATAATTACTCTGAAAATAGATATTCAATGTGAGATAAATGGATATGAAATAAGTGTTGTAAGTAGACCAATGAGTCGCGGCTATGACCACACGAACCACGCTTTCTGCATATAGACTACTCAAGTTATTATAAGTATACAGTAATGAGAGTCGTTGTACAGGGATGAATCATTGACACGAATGGAACATACTTTCCTTAAAAATTATTTATCAATATCATATCGATATTCTTTTTAGTAATTGCCATTTATCCCTGGTAACTGATTATATGGAATGGCATGAGGATTAATCTGGATCTAGATACGGGACAGCCTTTGTGTGAGCGCCGTGTAGCGGCATCGTATTTCTGTCTTAGTCATAATGACTGAACGGCAAGATGCCAAACAAAGACACGCACAATGTACTGCCAGTGATGTGTTTTAGGTACTTTTAACTAATTTCAACATCTGACCCTTGCTATCATTTCATCAAATACTGATTCCATATTTCAGCAAAGCACGTGGGTCAGAATATTTTATTGACAGATGTTAATTTCATAGTAATGTTGTTTCCCCCAACAAAGCACTAGGTGTATTGACCGGGTGTGTATAATGAAGCGACGCGTCGGCATCATTAGCATGTTGGCTTTAAAGTGATCAACTCCATTTTAGGACATTTCAACTAAATTGATTCATTTATGAAAATTAACTAACTTTAAAAGTTTGGGGGTTTCTCCTGGCGTTGGGTTTAGAGTGGTTGTTTCCCATTCATCTTGCGGGACAATGACAGCGAATTGCGAATGCTGGTTTCTGATTGGTCAGAGGCGTGTCAATTTCATCTGACTCATCAATAACACAGCCACGTGCTCGAGCTCGGCAGAACGGCTCAGAGAGAGAGAGTGTACTCGCTACGGGCGCTGTGCAAAGCCTGCGCTACAACAGGGGTCGTGAGCGAAAGCTGGGATTTGAGATATGCTCCGGATTAGCGTACCCGCATTGTGTCAGCGCGGACCAACTGACCAATCAACCAGGGACTAAACTTACGAGAGGCGATTAACACCTTGTTAGAGTCGCCGACAACGCTATGTACATGTCTCGCTGAAAAAAGAAGTATTGTCCCTACACCCCTTTCACAGGAGTAGACTCGCCTGCCCGACAGTTCGAGCGATTATACTTCGCCGCATGTGGTACAATCCCATTCGAGTTTTTCGCCGATGCGAGGAATACTGTTTTAGCGAGCGTGGAACCAACTATAAGCCACTATCGCACCGTTAACTGACTCGGCCCACGGCTGGGAACACAGATTCAAAGGAAAAAAGGTGGAATATTTCATTTTATCTGTTTGACGAGATTTCGGTCTGTGGCGAGCTTGGATGTTCTCCAGCAGTTCCCGATATGTAACCGACGTTGTGTCATTCTATGGAGCGCCCGGAAAGCGACGTTTTAACCAAAATGTTGGAACTAAGCTGGGAGAGATTCCTGGCTTATTGAGAAGGCAATAAGCTCTACCGGAGCAATCAATAGTCACAGCGCTCTCTACCACCGGATTAACATAGTCGTAGTAATTGGAAGTTTTAATATACCAGTGCCATTTCTGTGAAAATGTTGGAGGAACTAAGGCTGTTGTTTCATCTCGTCTTGCTCGTGGTCGTCACAGGTAGGTACTGCATGTTTTAGGGGACTGCCGTTGGTGCATGTACAATGGGAGATTGTTAGACACACTTCATCCTGGTTGGGTCAGTTGTATACACTTCTGGGAACACAGACATGTATATATATACATAACACTTACATAACACATGCTAACTTTTGTGTCGCGTCTCTTCTGGGGATATCAAATTGTTGTTTTTTGTATGATACATATATCCACACACGCTGACGGATAGCATGTAGTATGTAGCGACGTAGGAATGTGTAAATATCAACGAAAACATCACGCAGGGGCTGTCACTAAAGTGAAGGAAGACCTGTCGGTTGGTTAAAAAACACCCACCTCGAGTTGTGACAGGCAGATACCAGAACCGATGTGACAGTGCCTGACAAATATCACCAGCACCATCTGTAATACGGGTGTTTATTGTCAGATACTCTACCACGTCCCAAAACATCCCCTCCCCCCAAACAACCCACGTCTTCCTCTACAGTTAGTACCTTCAGTGTCATATTGGAGACAGCTGGAATATAATATACTTTCTGGACGTTAGAGGTGTAGTGGACATAGATCACATCGACATACGGGTGGATTGGCAGTGTGTACTACCCAGCGTAACGGAAGAAAGGGGTGGATACGACAAGTTGGCTGTTGGAAGTGGGAAGGCGTGTGACAGTGGGTATAACCAGGGGTAATCTACAACAGCGTCTTCTATTCTCCCTGGTATAACGGGTGGAATTAGGTGTGTAGTTGAACCCCGTATAGGTTTGTAGTTCTGTAGTTTAGTACTTTTAAGAACGGGTGGATTGGTTGCGTTAGTTAGTGAGGTGGATAACGGGTAGATTGGTTATGTATTTTATTACTGATGAGAACGGGTGGATTGGTTGTGTTAGTTAGTAAGGTGGATAACAGGTAGATTGGTTTTGTGGTTTAGTACTGTTGAGAACGGGTGGATTGGTTGTGTTAGTAAGGTGGATAACAGGTAGATTGGTTATGTGGTTTGCCTAGTACTGTTGAGAACGGGTGGATTGGTTGCGTTAGGTAGCAAGGTGCATCTGACGGGTAGATTGGTTATGTAATTTAGTACCGTGGAGAACGGGTGGATTAGTTTTGTTATGTAGCAAGATGGATAACAGGTAGATTGGCTATGTGTTTTAGTACTGAGGAGAAAGGGTGGCTTGGTTGCGTTAGTTTGTAAGGTAGATAACTGATAGATTCCTTCTGTATTTTAGTAAGGTGGAACACAGGTAGATTGAGAATGCGCTGGAGAACAGGTAGATTCGTTACGTTTTTTGGTACAGTGCAGGACGGGTGGATTGGTTGTGTTCGATGTGTTACGTCGGCTAGTACTATGCAGAACGGGATATATTGGTCATGTAGTGCAGTACTTCAGTAAACGGGGAGATTGACCACGTTGGGTAGCGGGTAGATTAGTAACGTCGGGTAGCAGCGGAGGACGGGTGAAATGTGGGTGTGTGGACACAGAAAGGGATTAAACGCACCAACAACTGCCATGTGCTCCAGATACAGAGGATCGGTAGCTTTTTTCTCTCAAGTTGTCTGCGAGGTTACTTTTTTCAGTCTTCTTTAATAATCCTCAATCTAAGTATGATACTGTCAGAAGACTGATCGTTTTTACATACATACTTATGCAGATAAACATAAACCAGGTGTAGCTATAAATTCGTTGTATTATTAGAAAGCAATTTCACTCAATGTAGAAATTTACTGCAGCTGTCTTTTGTGCATTATTCAGTTTAATGAGGGAACTTGTCCTGGCCTCTAATGTTTTAACCCTGGGTAATTGAAGAAATGACTTTAGGTATTAAGGCTATGAAGATAAGGAGAAAATATGACATAATTAATGTAATTGTTAATTTTATTTTAACATATTAGTTCTCGTGTCTAAAATGTCGGTTGCTCTAAGTAGTAAATAATTCTGTGCGGCAAACGCGTGTGTACTTCGTGTGTACTCCATGTGTACTCCGTGTGTACAACAAGTTACGCCACGCAGCATACCAGGCTGTTAAACTCCACACACTATACACTGTATATCGGAAGATGCGTGGCATCTTATTGTCTGCATCGAGGGATGACAAATAAATTGATTTAACCTGACTCGTGGTGGGAGAATTTACAGAGCCCAACACCAAGGCAATAAACATCACTTGTGTTACAAGACATATTTGTGTGATGGTTTGTATGTAATATACATGAGCCCAGGCTCGGGACCAGTATTATACTACCGACACGGAGTGCAGTTCCAAATAGAAGCACAATTGTATTATTTACCGATCAATTGTGAAGCAATGCTGAATGCATCAGAAGTCAGGGCATGAAATATACATTTATACCACCATGTAGATTTCGGTAATTGACAGATTTATTTCCAATCGATAACATATAAAAGCTTTTCTACACAGAGAATTCGTGACATTTGACAGTCGTGTTACGAATCCATGCTATCCGCCATAAAACCCTTAAAACTGAAGATAAAAAGGCAGGGTTGTGTTTATTACGTTTAACCTCTTGCCGCGGGTTTACGAGATGTGAAGGTTGTCTGCCAACAACCTTTTTAATTGTTGAATTCTCGAGGTGTTGATATCCAGATTCGGCGATCTTGAGTAATGACGGTGTTTTGTGTCTACCGGCTGAGTACCGGCTAACAATAGTCGGAGACAGATGATCCCCCTGTCCCCCCTCCCATCGTCCCCACTCTCTGTTTCCAGCAATCATACCTACCCGCCTTAGCTTCGGAGATTGGTCCTAAACTTAATTTTCAGACCAGTGCTGTATTTTACGCTCTCGCCCTAATCAAAGTTTGGTCACCAGTGGTGATTCTATTAGGCTGTCGCCGCTGTTTAATCAGAAGTCTCAAGTTGGCAGGGGGCGTCCACCAAGGACTTTTTCAGAAGCATTGAACGCTGTCACTGGTATACATACCCAGCTTCTGGAATCTATCATCAAACATAACAAAATAAATACACGCTTCTGTGGTGGTTTAAACCTCAAACACGCACACATGCATGCACGCATGCCGAACGCACACACGCACGCACACTTGTAATTGTATTGGTACATTTATTCGCATGCTCGATTAACTCCAGGCTGATTATTATTTTTATGACGGTGGGGAACACATTTTTTCTGTTGGGTGTAGTATGAGATGTAGGGGTCGGGCGACGATCACTAGGGGGCGCTTTAACTTCAACCTTACCTCAGCCTTCCACAAACACGACCATACTTCCAAATGTTCTTTCTTGAGAAATGTTCCTGATACCTAATTAACGCTGCTCATTACAGGAGAAGATGCGGCGTGATCATTAGATGTATGATTGATGTTCTGTATACTGGATTCATTTGGACTTTATCGTTGTTTAAGCTTTATTAGTTTTATTTCCACGTGCGTTATTAAAAGTGGATATATACGATCGATAGATAGTCCAACCTTCAACGAGGTTCTAAAAGAGCAAACTTATGGATTACGTGTGAGGTAATTGGTGTTTGGAGATGATTTAGGCAGCACAATCGCCGGTTTTAAATCAAATTGAATAGTTTTTAATTAAGTTGAGGTCTGCTGTGTATTGATTGTAGCGCGAAGGTTTGTCCGTTTAGGGAATCTATTTGTACGAAGGAAAGAACAAATACCGAACTACACACGATCATCAAAGCACGGTTTACGACTCACGTGCATCACGCAACATTTGAATCAGCGCGGAATTTATTTTCCCTAACAATATTCTGAATCAGCAGTAAGTATAGCACTCTATTGACAGTTGGTTTGTAGAACTGATACTTAAAAATGATGTTATAGTATATTGTTTGTTTCAAAAAGGTGTTCTGAGCCGTTTGAAGTTTGCCAAGATGACTCCACTACAAGTACAAGTGTCTTGTTCCGAGCCGCGTGCAGTGCAGCGGGTATTCCATGCACAACAGCTGTCCCGAGTTTGCGATCCTCGATAACGTTAACCCGAGATATGGTTACTGTTCCGGAAATATATGTAATAGGTTAAGGACGCAAGGTTTTTACAGCGTGTAGTGAACATGCCCGTGTTACCACGAATCGCGGTATCCAGGCCGAAAGTGTATCGTGTATGCTGGAGTCCCCGGCAGCCGCAAACAACTGACTCAACTTGAACGGTTTTATATACATAAATCAGTGATATTTGGAAAGTCAATAAATCGTTGCAGAGCATTTCATCAAACAGGACCTGATATTATATCATATCATATCATATATCATATTATCATTGGTGGTGTTATGATTGTTTAAAATATTAACAAATAAACTCAGTATTCTCAGACCACTTGTATTATTCAACAAGCCATATGTGGGTTTTTGTTTTCAAACCTTTGGTTAAATTAATTTTCTTTTATTGGATGCTCAAATGCTATACTTCCATAGTGATATTGCAGGCATCAAGTGAGTGTTCTGTTCCAACATACCGGTCACTACCAATTCATGCGACAGGCGTCTGTATAAGACACACTGTATGAGACACACTGTATGAGACATACTGTATGAGACATACTGCTGATGATGCTTCCACAAGAGTTGAGGAATTCAGCCGTTCCACCTGCTATGCAAGGAAAGCTTATTGGCATAATCGTAGCACATGTTTGACAGGTTTTATGGCAGTTGACGTTTTTTGACAAATTCAATTTCATTGAAAAAGAATTTAAACAGCTAAGTTGTTCACACTTGATTAATTGCTTCTATGGTATACTCATCAGAGTAGCGTCTTCTCTTCACGAGGTGAAGAATATAGACCGCCAGGGAAATAAATATTGGTCTGTTGTTTTATCAACGCCTTTTCTGTGAGCTGAAGTGAAAGATCGTGTATTAAAGTTGTTTGGAGGAACAAGTTTAGTTTCACATTTCTCAGATTGTCCTTGACCCATTAAGTGAGATAGTTGTATGTTTGACGATGTGGACAAAGGTTGTGATTGGTGGTTGCATGTTTGATGATTGTATGTTTGGTACAGAAGGGTTGTGACTGATGGTT